TTATATGCTCCATTGGCTAACTGTTGCGCAGAGTCTGTCGCACTGGTAGATGTATTATTAGTAGCAGCTTCAACTAAACTATTCTTTGCTTCATTATCCAGTAATTGATGGGGGAAAACTCTTAATGATGGGTGACATTCTGTGTCGAATGCAACTAAGTTTAATGATTCTATATCTCTTGGTTGAAACTTCCAATCATATTGAAACATAGGATTTATTGCATTTCCTAACCGATCAAATATTCTTTCTTCATAAGATAACCGTATAAAAGTTCTTTCTTGTTCTATTTCTGATTCTGTTCCTCTATGAACTGTATATGCATCCATTAATGTAATAGCTCCTTCTACTGGTTGCCAACAATATAAACTGTTATGAATAGCTACTTGTCTATTCATTTCCCAAAAAAAATCATGCTTTGCTTCGTCAAGTTGTTTAAAACCAAATGGTTGGATATAATACTTTGTAGGTAAAATATCACTCATAGAATAAGTATGATTTAATAAACATTTTGGATTCCATCTTGAACCTTGAAATCCATCTACATGACAAGGAGCTTCTCTTAGAGTCTCTCCAGGACGCATTAGTCCTCTATCAACTGTTAAGTAGCAGTAATAATGATTAGCAAAGTCTTTATTCAGTGCATATTCAAAATCGATTACTTTCTGAATTATTCCACTTAATCCAATTAATTCTTTAGGAATTCTATATTCTTCATTGTTTACCATTTTGATTGGAAGATCTAACACCCTTGGCAAAGAAATAGTGCCTATTAATTTTCGTTCTTCCACTGTTAATATATCAGTTGTAATTGGAATTCTAGGAGTATCAAATTTCTTTAAATCATAAATTGTATTCAAATCATTGAGTATTGGATGTTGCTTTGATTGGCAATGTTGAAGAATTTCTTGATGAGATTTAGCAGTTGTTTGATTAGGTTTTAGAATGATTCCACCATTCGCTGTTAATTGAGGGATAAAATAATCTTTTCCATTGTATTCTAATTTTTTCATCATCTTAATCTAGAATTACGAACTACGAAAGTACAGCTCTTAGATATCAACTAAAAAATAGACTTTAGCTCTTCTCAAAGCTGTCTAAGTGTTTCCATCCGTCCACTTAAGACAGGCTTCGCCAGTCAAGCGAGAAAGTGAGTAACATGCAAAAATTTGACCTGCACTTTTTATTAGATATTCGAAATTTTTGAACAAAAATGGGATTATGAAAAAATTTTGAGCGAGTTTGGACGAAAAATGACGGTTTTATTCGTTGACTCACGAACAAATAGCGAAGACAGAAAACATTTGTTTTTCGTTTTCAACATATAATGAAATTACACGAGAGTAAGTTCTGTGCTGTTATACTTATACGCCGCTTGAAAAAAAAGAAGCAAAAGGAAAAATTCTTAATCAATAAATGCTACAGTTTATTATTGCACAAAAAAACCTCACACAGTCATATTTCTTTTTCATAATAACATTCGAAAGAAAAAAGTAAGCTCTGCTCTTGATAAGGTCAATTCCTATAAATCTATCAAGTTCCAACGAAGTTCTGGCATCAGTGAAGAGAAATACAAAAAATTTTGAACAAGTAAACACATTCTAGAGTAAATAGTACTTGTTTACTTACGGGGGGTACTTGTTTTTCAGAAAAAGCATGATGACGTAAGTTCACGTGAATTTCTATGTGCTTTTTGTGGCTGTGACGAAAATTCACACTTTGATGACGAAAGTTCCGTCGACTGTGACGAAAATACCCTTGCTTTTAACCGTTCCTGCTTAACTTTCATCACACGTAAATACCGCTATAAATACAGAATAGAATCAAGTGCTGTGAGATTATTATGTGATCGGGATACTCCCTCAGTAAGAGCTGCACTTACTATTTGCTACACTGCAATACTTCCTGAGAGTAAGTTCTGTACTGTTATACTTATTCTTAAAATTAATAAAATTCTTAATCAATAAATACTACAGCTTATTATTGCACAGAAGAAACTCATACAGTCATATTTCTTTTTCATGATACCATTCGAAAGAAACTAAGCTCTGCTCTCGATAAG